GTGGCATTCTGTCAGTAGGTTTTGTAGAACCTCACTTTTTGATGCCTCTGTGATACTTTCCATCTGAAATCTGTTTACATAAGATTTAATTTGTATTAATTAATTTCATTTTTTGTAAACAGCAACTACCACAGATGCTATGGTTTGATAAGGATTTTCTTTGAAGTTTTGGTATTATCCTCTGAGGCATGCAGATGCTTAAGGCAAAGCTAAAGGCAACAAGATTCCTGAAATACTTATCAAGTGTTGAAATGGAATATCACCTGTTTTTGAACTGATCTCAATATACAGTGTTAGTCTATAAGGTGCCACAAGTACTCCTGTTCTTTTTGCAATATACAGTGTAGTAACTTTTGTAAATATTTTGCAATAGTTAATTAAAATAGATTTATATGACAGCAATTAATGCATTCTATTGTTGACAATTTCCCAACTGTTGTTCTGTCAGTAGCAATCATATGTATGTTCACTGCTGTCAGAGAATGCTTATAAAATCTGTGCATTTAAGGCAAAATCCTGTCATCACTCCATATGTGGAATTGCCATGGAAGTCATGGGGAATTTTGTACTTCAATCATAGCAGAATGTGGCTCTTGATCTACTACAAAAACTAAGATCTGAGAAAAAGTACCAAAGTTAGTGAGTTACATAACAGAAGCCATTATCTCTATCATCTTTGCTAGCTTCTGTACAAATACAAAAATAGCATACAGTAGGGACAGCTAACAACTCTTCTTTTACTAATAGGTAAGTTATATTCTCTGTCCCTTGTAGAGAGAAAATCTGCTCAGACTAGTATTATTTTACCTACTGATAAATGATAAAAGAGAATTTTTAAACCACTGTACACTAGTTCAATTTTTTAGCAGACTGAAGTTTTGTATCTGCCTTTCATCCTCCCCCCAGGCCTTTTTTTCCATATTTTGAACATTAAGTCTGTATTCTTTTTCTTGAATTTTAAAAACTCCAAATTGCTATAATTGAGATTCTGTTACAGTGTATGATCATTTTTAAGTGCCTTTAGTTCTTTTGAAGGTGCAAATTTAAAAACCTTTAGGACTGAAACTGTTTATTCACGGTACATGAATAACATAAGCAGTGGTAGCGATAGCTGTCCCACACAATCCTACCTATGTTCCTCTGCATTTTTGCTTGTGTGCAAGATTGAATTACCTGTAGGAATGAAAGGGTAATTTGAACTCCATATTCGTTAGCTCTTTGGTCTTTGTGATGGTGTTTACAGACCCTACACAGAGACTAAGGGAGTGAAGGAACGGTACTAGATCAGGTCAGCCCTGCCCCTCAGTAGTTGCAGAGTATGCTCCAAAAGGAGGAGCTGCTCAAAAGGGTACTCTGACAGTCAAGCAGGGAGCAGAGTGAAGGAGAGGCTATCTGAAGGGAGGAAGCCAGTTTGCAGCTTTTGGGGATAAAGTCATTCACAGAAGAGGGTGTGGACTGTGGGTAAGACCAGCTGGGAGGGTAGGGGCATGTCTTTTTCCAACCCCCAATCCCTGTTGAGGGGAAATAACTGAGAGCAGGGGAATTCTCAGTGAACTATCTGCGCTGCTGGGGCTGATTGGCAACTCCCGCTGGAACACCCCAAACAAAAGAGAGTGTGAGGAGAGAGGAAGCAGCTCAGGGGAGGCTGGCCAAGTGACTGAGACACTTCGTGCCTTTCCTCTTTGAGCCCTGGGCCGACACCCAGGAGCAAGGAAGGGCCCAGTCCCCCTGCTTCCCCAGGTCCATCCATCTGGGAGAACTCTGGAGCATCAGGGAATTGGTGGACCCCAGCCTGCCCACTGAACCTTCTGGCCTCTGAGTGAAACCCACTATAGGGTGGAAGGAGCGTTGAGTCACAACCTGCCCATTCGGCCTGCTGGCCTCTGAGTGAAAATCCTACGCTATAATCTTTCTCTTAAGGTTGGTCAACAAGTGGTTAGTCAGATTGTCAGTTTTGTGTCTGTATCTAGGGCCAGACTAAGACCAACAAATCATTTCATTTCCTGTCAGTGTATTTTTAGTGCAGCAGTCAACATGATTTCTATGGCTGTACACTGCACACCATTGGCAGCAGCATGTAGGGTAAGTGTAGCGACACACCACAGTGAAAAGCAGCTCTCTGCACTGGGGAAATGATCCAGCAGCAGGGAGTTGACAGTCTTTCCCTGCTGCCACCCAGCCGCAAGAGCCTTTCCCCACGGCTGGAGCCTTTTGTTGCAGCAATGGGGAGGCAGCAGGACACTAAACTGATAAAAATTGCAGTGTAGATGGGGGAAGCACTGCTTGGGCGTGCACATACTCTAAGGGTTCTGGTGTGTGTTTACTCACCCAAACCAGGCCTCACTGGCTACACTGCTATTTATACCTGTGCTAGGGTGGCATGCAATATCTGTACTCTACACTCTGCCATAAGGCGTATGCAGTGTAGACGTGTCCTGTGTCCTGCAGGGGCTTCTAAACACTGCATGTCTACACTAGAGCTAGAGGTGTTAATTGCAGCTTGAGGAGACATATCCACTCCAGCTCTGTTATATCTAGCACACTAACAATACAAGTGTAGCTATGATGGCACTAGCAGTGGGAGTAGTTTGCCACTCAAAGTATGATCCCATCCGAGATCATAGGTCTGTACACGGGGTGGGTAGCCCCTCTTGCGGCTCACGCCATCATAGCTACACTTCATTTTTTAGTGTAATAGCTCAGTCATAGCTAGCATGGGTATGTCTCTTGAATTCAAATTTACACTTTCCAGTTCTAGTGTAGAGGTACTCATTGGTGCAGAGATATCCTCTTTTAAATTAAGGAATTAAATAATCCCCGGAAACATTATTATTATTATTATTTATTATTATTTAATATTAATGATTAATAACAATATTTTGTGCTTTAAAATGTAGACACCAGGAAGTGTTGTTTTCTTTGAATGTTGTTGCTTCTCCATTCTATACTACAAAGTGAAAAGATGGACTAGATTTTAAGGTGAAGTTCTGAAGAAAAATAAAGCATACCAAAATAAATGAAACTTCCTAAAGGCCTATCAGATTAAGAGAAAAACAAAAAACAACAACAACCCAGAAAGGAGTTGCAAAAAATTATAGTGTAACAAGAAGGATATTGCATTAAACATTTGGCAAAAAAAGCTATTTCTTTCAGCTGCAGAATAATTATGATTTTTCTTTCTTATGATTAAAATGTTTATAAAAATGAATTTGTGATATCTCTAGATATGCTTTTTTAGACATTTTGACATATGTTTAATTTTGTTATGACATTGGTCAGAAAAATTAACCAATAAGTGCTGGTCCTCTTCAATAAAATAAAAAAATATATATGGCATTAACATATGTTCTGGTTCCTCTCTTTCTGTTTCCATGTTTTATTTTGGTTTTTGTAAACAATTTCTCTTGCTTTTTCTCATTCCTGTTGACCAGTGGTGTTTGGCCAGTTTGTATTTTTCCAGACATCGCTCCATGATGTGGTTGAGGTGTATGATGGCCCAACACAGCAATCATCTTTATTATCCTCCCTCTCAGGATCCCATTCAGGTATTCTTTAATGGAACTGTCATGCATCAATTATTTACTAAAAAGTGATTTAGACTGGTAATGTAGCAAAAGATGAAACTACTGTCATCTTTTCTTAGAAACAAATTGCATTGAAAATATAATATGAACGTTTTGAAAAGAAACAATCAATCAGTAGTGATTCAAAACAGTTTGGGCTGATAAAAAGAATGAAGACTAAATTTAATCTGCAGTTTTCTTGGATTTTTCTGGTAATATTTAACTAGCGCAGTTACTTTTTTTGGTTTATTCATTTTGTATTTTCTGTCAAAATTTTCGTTTGTTTTTCAATGTACTATATAAAATGTGATATTAAAATACTTATAAGTGATAGTAGAGAATATATAGCAAATTATAATTTGAGTAGATTATGTGCATGTCAGAAGGGTTTTAAAGACTTAGAGACTTGATTTTAAATCAGAAGGAATACCATTAATGTGAGATGAGAATCAGGCTCTAAATCTTACAGGAATGTAAGACAAACAAGGTTAGACTAATAGTAAAGTTTATAGTATATGCCTCATAAATTAAATTCATGCAGAGTATATTTTGTGGTTGTTGAGGCTTAGTTACTGAAAATTGTTTATGATAATTCACTGTTTGTTTTGTTTGAGTAGGCGAATCCCTTCCACTGAGCTCAGGTAATCAAATCACAATTAGATTTACTTCAGTGGGTCCAGTAACAGCTAAAGGTTTTCACTTTGTATATCAAGGTAAGTAACACAATAGCTTGGAACAATGCTTCAATTAATTGTGTGCATTAATCCCTCCATATTTTCTTTATAAATGAATTATACTAATATTTTAAGTTTTATTTTGACAAATGTATTTGATTAAACAGAGAAATCACTAGGGATGAGCAGGCCTGGAATGTAGTGGAAAATATTAGACTGCTGTAGATGTATAATTTCTCTCCATTTTTGTATTAAAAAAATCCTTTTATTTGTTATTGACATCCTCAATTACACATGATTTTAAATATTCTTAAAAAATAAAATCAGATATTTGAGAAGCATAAGAAAGGCTTCCAGATTTGAGAAATCAGTTATGAAACCAATTTTTGTTAATCTGACTGACTAATTTTCAGTCCAGCCGGTTGCTCAAACTGATTTATCCTTCTATTTAAATATGAGTAACGGAAATGGTAATAGTATTACCATAAGCTGAATCAGTAAACTTGCTATTATTAAGGTGCTTCAGTTGATTTACATTATTAATCTTTTTAAGGATCAGACACTGAAATGATTACATGTCCTCTAGTTCATTCTTTCAGATAATTTGAATCCCATCCTGACCAGCAGAACTCACAATTTTAAACCTGTAGTCACTAAATGCAAATATCTAACCAACAAATCAATACTGTTTTGAAACTGTATGTTAGCTGAATATTTCATAACAAAGTATACAATTTCAGTGCCATTTTAGGAAGGTCTCAGAATAGATACTATAATGTGGTTTTAAACCTGCAAAGAATATCAATATTTATTCTAATCTGAATAGTAATTGCATTTAGATTTAGATGCATGGAATCCTTATTTTTGAAGATTCATTTGGGGATTATGCAAATCTTCTTAACTGACAACACGACTGAATGTTTTTCAAGTAATCTTAGACATCTGCATTTGAAAATCTCTGTTTCTCTACCAAATATAAAATTAAGAATCCACAATCGTTTTCATGTATGCAGCTGTTCCAAGAACAAGTGCAACACAGTGCAGCTCTGTGCCTGAACCAAGATTTGGAAAAAGGATTGGAAATGAATTTGCAGTTGGTTCATTGGTTCTTTTTGAGTGTAATCCAGGATACATCCTCTATGGATCAATAGCAATTAGATGTGATTCAGTACTGAATGCTTTGGCACAGTGGAACGATTCCCTCCCTACATGTGTTGGTGAGTAAAGGCTATATTTTTGTATCGGTCTAATTATTGCCTACAATGAAGAATGTTATCTTAAGTCTGAATCCACTCCTGTTGTTCCATCCTCTACCTTCTTACTGCTTATTTTTGTTCTGATTTTCTGGCTTGTACTCATACTTTACCCACCGAATACCCTGAACATAAAGAATATGTCAGAAGGGCTCTCATTCAGCAAAGTAATATGTTAACACAATATTAACTTAGCCTAAATGAGGTCATGAATCCTTCACTTTTCATCTTCACTTTCTAGCCCAACTTTGCTTTGACATTTCAGTAGCTACATGACAGTACATATCCTGCAGCTATAAATTATATATCAGCTTCTTTTAGACTTACATCAATGTCAGTCCATGACTACTCATTAATCAAGATTCAGAAGTTGTCCTGACCTCCTGCAATACTAAAATGCTCTCACACTTGGGAACTCTGACAAGATATTGTATGCTGTTGCCAGAAGAACTACTTTATTAAGGACTTAGAAGTAGTTACACCAATGTTCTGTAGCAGGTCAGAAAGAATGCATTTTTTTCCAGGTTAAAAAGTACATTTGGTACATTTGGTACTCTGTCTAACTCTAGACAGAGTTACAGGGATTTACAGGGACATTTGGTCTAACTCTAGACAGATTCTCAACTGGTATAAAACAGTATAAAACCATTGACATCCATAGACCTATGCACATTTTCACTAACTGAGGATCTGACGCATTGGACCCAATTCAGCATTGCAGATTGCATTTTTTTTTTTTTTTTTAGATTATGTATTTACTTTGATTTTCATATAGAATAAACTCAACTGGCAGCAGTGTTGTTTTTGGTCACGGGTTGCAATATTCTATTGCTGTATTAATGCACCATTTAGATATGTGAAAGAGAACACTGTCTGATTTTAAGCAACTTGAAATGAGAAAGAGTTACAGGCCAAAAGTATCAAAGACTCTTCATGTGCACATATCAGTGTGCCAGTAAAGGTCATAAAATATGTATGAGTTGAAAATTGCATTGAACTAAATCAGTTTAATAATTGAAGTGCTAGACATGACCATATTAAATTGCCTTAACTCTCTAGTGAATGCTTCAGTGTTTCCTTACAGATATCAGATATCAATCATTCTGTCTGCTCCTGCTTTTACCAGTAATTATTTAAACAGTTTAAGTGACACTGACCTTTAGTTTATCAATGTAGTGTCCAACAGATTCTATCAATTATGTGCAGTACAAAATATAGCCAATGTATTCATTACTGAGATAAATTGTGTTCTTCTACATTTTCTCTAAATCCTCGTATTTGTATCTACTGAAATCAGCTCAAGGAGTTGATAATGTTACACAGGAATAATGTATTGGCTTCTAATGGTAAAGATAAAACATCTCGTCAATCTTTTCTTCAAGCTATTAAAAAGCCAGTAGAATACCTGTATCTAGATTAAGCTGTAACATTCTTTTATTTGCTCTTGTTAGAGTATCAAGTGACCTGAGCAATGTTTTCATTCATGCTGAGCATCAAGAACCAACAGTTTGCACTATTGAATTCCTGTGACTTACTTATTTTATTATTTTATTTATCTTTGGGACTGGGTATTATGTGTGCTATCTTGCAAACACATGAGTTTCTTTACTAACATAAGTTCTTTACTAACTCCATGGACTTCAATGAGATTACTCACATAAGCAAACGTGATAGCTTGGGAGTTGGAATAGACGCCCTCCAGTATTAGAATTAAATTAGTTACTGAGGCAACAAAATAGTAGCATTGATCAAAACCTCGTTTTTATGCCAAGTTCTTTCCCCTTATATATTTAGATCACATATAACTATTTAAAGTTCATTATTAATGAGTATCAATATTTATTTTATTTTTATAAGATTAGTAGGACACATTCAAACCGATTTCACTTTGTTAAAATTCAAATGACCATGTCTGAGGGATATTAACATGATTTTGTCAGGTAGATAGCTACCCTTTTTAAATTTTCTTTTATTGAATCATAGAATCTCAGGGTTGGAAGGGACCTCAGGTGGTCATCTAGTCCAACCCCCTGCTCAAAGCAGGATCAATCCCCAGACAGATTTTTACCCAAGTTCCCTAAATGGCTCCCTCATGGATTGAACTCACAACCTTGGGTTTAGCAGGCCAATGCTCAAACCACTGAGCTATCCCTCCCCCCTATTCTTTTCAATTAATTTAAAAATAGAATTTGAAGTATAAAGAAGTATAATTTTCCTGAGGCCAACATGAATTTCAAAATATAGTATCACTTTACAAGAGTTTGCATCTCTAGTATACTGATCAATGTGTTAGCTTTTATTACATCTTTTCTCAGTTCTAAAGCAGTGATGCGTCAAACTTCTTTTTTTGCTCCATGTATTTCCTTCCAGTACCTTGTGGTGGAATTTTAACTAAGCGCAAAGGAACCATTTTGTCTCCTGGTTACCCTGAGCCTTATGACAACAATCTGAATTGTGTGTGGAAGATCACAGTGCCAGAGGGAGCTGGAATTCAAGTAAGAATATATATAATTTTCTTGTTATCATCATAGGTTTGAAGCTGATCTTTGCAGAGATGACAGTATGAAAAGATAATTGATTCATAAACATTTTACTAAGCAATTAACAACTGTCACAATGGAATTTGTTACACAATTCTTTTTAAATATGGGCGGTGGAGGAATTTGAAAAGATACATCTACACCCTTTTCCCAAAAGAACCCGTTGCTGGAACATTTATGATTGGCAATATATTATTTCAGTAAGGCAGAATGATTTGTTGCAGACTGTAGAAATTGAAATTGTGTAACTAAATTTCCTTGTCATGAATAAAAAAATATCTGGATTACATTCTCAAGTGGGTTATGCAGATTTTCCTTAAAAATTCTGTCTGTTGGGGAGAAATAAATATATAGTTATAAACTTACTACAATATGGGCCTGAGCCAAAGCCTATTGAAATTAATGAAAAATTCTTATGCCTGTAACCTGGGTGGCGGGGTTCAGGTTACAGGCCTCCCGCCCAGGAAGGTGGGGCTTTGGCTTTGGCTTTGGCCTTCCCGCCTGAGGTGGCAGGGCTCAGGCTTCAGTCCCCTGCCCTGGGCTCGTGTACTAATTTTTGTCGTCAGAAGGGAGTCGCAGAGCAATGAAGTTTGAGAACCCCTAAATTAATGAATAATATAGAAAAAAACATATATGAGCCTACTTATTATGTCCTATAATTCAAGAGCAAAGAACACAAATTAGATGTAAAAGCAACACGTTTAATATGTACAAGAGAAAATTAAAAAGCAAGTTTATAATTAAGGAGGCAATTCTCTTTTTAAGATTTTAAAAAAGGAATAAACTATTGTATGCATAATAATAGTGTCACTAGTGTAAAAGCTAATTATTGGATCTCCAACTACTTGACTAGAAAAAAAAATCTGTCTGTACTTGGTAGAAGAATATAGGAATTACCATATCAGATCAGATCAGTACTCTATCTAGTCTAATATCCTGTCTATGACTCTATGAGAGTCAGGGGAGGCATGGCCATGTGTAACCATGGAAGGCTTCCCTACTGCCCCCTTGTAGTTTTTCCTGCCATTCAGGACTGGGGTGATGTTTTATAAATCCTCCCATTAAGTGAGCTGGAGCCAATAGGTTTTGCTACCCCTTGTGTCTGACAATGATCAGGAAGGGGCTGAATGCCTACAAGAGGGTGTTGCATAAAGCTGGGTGAAACTTGGAATTTCCATTCAATGGGAAATTCTAACATTTTGAAAACATTTTTGTTCTAATTCAGGAAGGTAGGGGTACCCCAGTGGGTCTTCCCATCTTGGGGAAGCCTGGAGAGACATAGTCAGCTCTGGGAGTCTTGAAGACCTGAGAGTTCCAGTTCTAACTGGGGCTTTTGGGGTTTCCAGGGCTGTCAGGCTCCCTGCTGTATAGCAAGGGGCATAGAAACCCTGAGGGCTCTGCCTCAACCTGGGGATCTCAGAGCTTTCATTCTGGTTCTGTGGCAGGGAGCCTACAAGCGCTGGGGTCTCCATACAGGGTAATCTGTATGGCAGGGCTGCCCCAGAACTGGCCAAACCTGGAAGCCCGGGTTCCTCAGCAGCTTGGTAGATGAGTGGGCAGGAAACCAGGGAGTTGGGATCCTGCCTGTCTTTTGGTGAACGTTTGTTGAAAGGTTTTAATAAGTCTGATATAAAAAAATAATGTTTTCTCAAAAAAATTTCCAACCAGGTCAAGGGGTTGTACACCTTAAAAGATTGAGGTATCTTTAGAGGAGGTTTTGGAACAAATTGATAAATCATGCCTCACCAATCTATTAGAATTCTTTGAGGGGATCAACAAACATGTGGACCAAGGGGATCCAGTGGATATAGTGTACTTAGATTTTCAGAAAGCCTTTGACAAGGTCCCTCATCACAGGCTCTTACACAAAGTAAGCTGCCATGGGATAAGAGGGAAGGTGCTGTCATGGATTGGTAACTGGCTAAAAGATAGGAAACAAAGGGCAGGTATAAATGGTCAGTTTTCAGAATGAAGAGCGGTAAATAGTGGTGTCCCCCAGGGGTCTGTTCTGGGACCAGTCCTATTCAACATATTCGTAAATGATCTGGAAAAAGAGGTAAGCAGTGAGGTGGCAAGATTTGCAGATGATTTAAAATTACTAAAGATAGTTAAGACCCAGGCAGACTGCGAAGAGCTACAAAAGGATCTCTCAAAACTGGGTGATTGGGCAACAAAATGGCAGATGAAATTTAATGTTGATAAATGCAAAGTAATGCACATTGGAAAACATAATCCCAAGTATACATACAAAATGATGGGGTGTAAATTAGCTGTTACCACTCAAGAAGGAGATCTTGGAGTCATTGTGGATAGTTCTCTGAAAACATGCACTCAATGTGCAGCAGCAGTAAAATAAAAAGGAAACAGAATGCTGGGAATAATTAAGAAAGTGATAAATAATAGGACAGAAAATACCATGTTGCCTCTATATAAATCCATGGTACACCCACATCTGGAATACTGTGTGCAGATGTGGTCACCCCATCTCAAAAAAGATATATTGGAATTGGAAAAGGTTCAGAAAAAGGCAACAAAAATATTAGGGGTATAGAACGGCTTCTGTATGAGGAGAGATTAATAAGACGGGGACTTTTCAGCTTGGAAAAGAGACGGCTAAGGGGAGATTTGATTGAGGTCTATAAAATCATGACTGGTGTAGAGAAAGTAGATAAGGAAGTGTTGTTTACTACTTCTCATAACACAAGAACTAGGGGTCACCAAATGAAATTATTAGGCAGCAGGTTTAAAACAAACAAAAGGAAGTATTTCTTCACACAACACACAGTCAATCTGTGGAACTCCTTGCCAGAGGATGTTGTGAAGGCCAACACCATAACAACCTGTGGAACTCCTTGCCAGAGTATATTGTGAAGGCGAAGACCATAACCATTCAAAAAAGAATTAGATAAATTCATGGAGGATAGGTCCATCAGTGGCTATTAGCCAGGATAGGCAGGAATGGTGTTCCTAGCCTCTGTTTGCCAGAAGCTGGGAATGAGCGACAGGGGATGGATCATGTGATGATTACCTGTTCTGTTCATTCCCTCTGGGGCACCTGCACTGGCCATTGTTGGAAGACAGGATACTTGGCTTGATGGACCTTTGGTCTGACCCAGTAGGGCCATTCTTATGTTCTTATGTACATCTTTATGTGCCTGAATACTTTTATAAATCTGGCCTTTTGTTCCGTTTCCCCCCCCCCCAGTGGTCTTCAAATATCATCCATCAAGCCATATCCTGTCCTCAGTTAGCACACAAGGCTCTGTGGTTCCTTTCAGAGTTCCTGTGGTTCCTATTGTTCTACCTAATCGTCACAAAATTTATAAGTCAGAATCAGAGATTTGAAAAACCAGATAAGAAACATTTTTTGCTTGCTTCAGGAGCTGGGGTTTTCTACTCCCAATAAAGAGCATAGCTTTACACAACTTTTGCATGATTCAAAATGACAGCTTGTAACTAAATTAAACCATACTCTGTACCTTCCGTTTTCATTCGTAGGTGCAGGTTGTGAATTTTGCTACGGAGCACAACTGGGACTCTTTGGACTTTTACGATGGTGCTGACAACAATGCTCCAAGGCTTGGAAGTTATTCAGGTGAGTGAATTAAGAAAGTGTATACTAAGTTATAGATGCAACTCTTTATTGAAAACACAAAACTTGTTGTAGTTCTTTTCTGTGTTTCTTCTGAAGGTGACAGTTCACACTTGTTATAGCCTTTGTTCCAGCCAACAGGGCCTTGAATTGTAATGCTGAAAACTTTAAAGATTTTTATAAAGAATATTACTTGTGTAATTTAGAGGGCCTCAAACTACATGCAACATTCCCATGGATGTCATCTCCTGCTATTGTAATGATTAAGTGGTTTCATGCATATAGAAAAATAATGGCCTTAGGTTCCAAAAACACACTCCTGTATTTCTTGGCTAACGTTTTCTGTTTTTTTTTTTTTAAATGTTATTGTTTATTTAGTCCCCAGTCCTGCAATGGGGTTTGTGAGGGCACAAAACTTAGAGAAATTTTAATAAATAGTTAACCATCCCATTCTCTGGCTGCCTTCTCCCTTAAATTAAATTAAAACCATACTTTACAGTTTAATATAAAGCACTGCCAATTAATATCCACGATTTCCCCAACCTTCAGCCAACCCTCTCATGAAAAGAAAACTCTTAATAGCTGTCACAATGCACAAAATGAAAGAGCACAAAAGTCCAGAACCAAAAGAAGTGTTTCTCTCTGTGTTTCTTGGCAGAAGAGTGTGAGTATCAGATTGATTCATTGATTTATCTTTAAAAAAAATCTCCATTATCTCTTACAGTACAGCTTTTATCTTCTCTAGATCATCCACACCCTTTTTGCACTTTCTTCCATTCCACCCCTTCCTTATTTGTTAAATGTCATCCAGGAACTACTCTATAAGGCCACTACCCTGTCCTCCAAAATCCTCCTCTATACCCATGTGTGCTTTGATATTGACAAGTAATAAGATGACTAACAATGGAGATGTGTTAAGAATTACTTGTTATATTTAATTGTAACTCATAGACTCATAGACTTTAAGGTCAGAAGGGACCATTATGGTCATCTAGTCTGACCTCCCGCATGATGCAGGCCACAAAAGCTGACCCACCCACTTTCCCTTAACTCAGCTGTTGAAGTCTCCAGATCGTGATTTAAAGACTTCAAGTCGCAGAGAATCCTCCAGGTTGCGACCCCTGCCCCATGCTGCGGAGGAAGGCGAAAAACCTCCAGGGCCTCTGCCAATCTACCCTGGAGGAAAATTCCTTCCCGACCCCAAATATGGCGATCAGTAGAACCCCGAGCATACAGGCAAGATTCTCCAGCCGGACCCTCTTTTTACCAGCGATGGCACGTTATTGCCTAATTGACTAAAATCACGTTATCCCATCAAACCATTCCCTCCATAAACTTATCTAGCCTAATCTTGAAGCCAGAGAGGTCTTTTCCTCCCACCGTTTCCCTCGGAAGGCTGTTCCAAAATTTCACCCCTCTGATGGTTAGAAACCTTCGTCTAATTTCAAGCCTAAACTTCCCCACGGCCAGTTTATATCCATTTGTTCTCGTGGTCCACATTAGTACTGAGCTGAAATAATTCCTCTCCCTCCCTGGTATTTATCCCTCTGATATATTTAAAGAGAGCAATCATATCTCCCCTCAGCCTTCTTTTGGTTAGGCTAAACAAACCGAGCTCCTCGAGTCTCCTTTCATATGAAAGGTTTTCCATTCCTCGGATCATCCTAGTGGCCCTTCTCTGTACCCGTTCCAGTTTGAGTTCATCCTTTTTAGACATAGGAGACCAGAACTGCACACAGTACTCCAAATGAGGTCTCACCAGTGCCTTGTATAACGGAAGCAGCACCTCCTTGTCCCTACTAGAAATACCTCGCCTAATGCATCCCAAGATCGCATTAGCTTTTTTCACAGCCACGTCACATTGCCGACTCATAGTCATCCTGCGGTCAACCAGGACTCCGAGGTCCTTCTCCTCCTCCGTTACTTCCAACCGATGCGTCCCCAGCTTATTCAGATCATAGTGATTATAGTATTTGCACCTTTCTTTTATGCCACTCCTAATAAATAATACTCCTTTTCCTAATAAAAGTGTGTGAGTGGGAGACCTGCAAATTAGACCATATGGCTCTAGTAACTACAGCTCTCGCCTCCAAGCTTGTGATACATTGAGCATGTTATCAAATCTCTAAGAGGAACTGGTATACAACAACACTCCCACAGTGATGCCCTCTAGCTGAAGCTGGTTATACAGTACATGCGGTGAACTTCTGTGCCTTTTTTATTTACATTTTTCTGGAAGAATATCATGTAGCTACTTATGAATAACTCTGGATTTCATCTTTTAAGCATAGTCATAATGGAATAATATGTTACTTTCTCTTTTCAGGAACTACAATTCCTCCACTGCTCAACAGCACATCTAACAACTTATACCTAAACTTTCAGTCTGATATTAGTGTTTCAGCTGCTGGGTTTCATCTTGAATATACAGGTAATGCCCATAGAATAGATTAATTCAAAGAGTTTGTTGAAAGATGTTATTTTTTCAGACATACATGTATGCTGTGAAGGGGTAAAGTTCAACCTGTTGCACACAATGAGCCAATCACTGATACCTTTGAAGTCAGTGGCAACCTTTGATTCCAATGGAAACAAGACTAGACCTGCAGTCTTTGTTGCTGGGAGTGGCATGTCTAATTCATTTTGCACTCCCCTTATGTTTTCCCATGTGTGAATGCTTTTCTGATTACACAATTGTGAGGAGTAAATGCAGGTAAATTTTCGTACATCACCTGCACAAAATTTTGAGTCCATAACCCAAGGCAAAAGAGACAAAGATTAAGTACTTTTTATGCATATTGTTATTACAGTAATTATAATAACCTTGTATTATTGGACTAATTCAGAATATTTACTTAGACACTGCCAATAATTTTAAATATATTATTAAATGTATTATTTGATATAGCGAAAAAAACATTCCATTATGTAGATCTGAAAAGAGAACATTCATTTCTGAAATAATCTAGCCAAAGCACACTAATCTGTTGTACGATTCCACAACTAGTCGGTGAAGGAACTAAATGCTGTAATTATCTAATCAAATACACAAAATTCATTTAAAATAAGTTTTTCACATGGAAGAGAAGAGTCAGCAGCATAAGCATCATATTCCATCTAAAAACCTATATAGTTATAGACCATCTCTCGAAAAAGTGTCGCCAGTGTTTGTGGAAAGCCGGAATGTCCATTGCAAAATGAAATGCTCTTGCACTAAAGCTAAGTGCTGTTAATATTGTTATTTTGTTATACTAGTGACTTGTACTACATCCTCTGCTAATTAAGAACAATCACTACCTTCATCACCTTCTGCTCCAAGTGTAAAGTATACTTCTTCGATCTTACCTTATCTAATATAAACACCTGTCAAAGTCTATATATAATTTATTAAAAAAAAAAAAACGCACCAAAACAAAACACTTCATTGAACACATCTTTTCCCTGGGGAAAAGATGAAAGCAATTAAAAGCCACATGTGGCAGATGTTAGTCATGTTGCTTAATGAAGTATTGGAAAGAGTTCAGATATGATGTTGTGGATCGTATAAGAACCTGAACAGAAGAGAAGAGAATTATCTGAGAAATTCTCATTGTTGATGACAGTAGTAGTAATACAAGCGTCTTCTCATTTCTACTTATTTATAACAATAATTATTACAATATTTTATGATCAACCTGGATTGTCTCAGCCAGTCCTCGTGCAGGAATTCTGACAGTAATAGATAGAGTTCTTTACATTTTTCCTAAGTGCACAATTCCCTGTGCACTAATTGGTTCTGTTGACTGATATGTATAATTACTGATCTTCTGAGCAGTTTTACAGTATGCAAATCCAGTACTTTGATTGTTTGACAGTCTATATTAATTAGTCAGAAGGCAGGGTCTTGCACAATCACTACATGGTCATTTCTTTATAACTGTACACTTGGTATTGGTTATTGTAATTCTTCTGATCTGGTTAGATTCTGTACTCAGAATTTTCCAGCTGTTTTCCTTCTGAAAGGGTACTACCTCAACTTCTCACATGTGTAGAGTGATGAAGAAAAACTCCAGAATATAAATAAATACAGCATAATATTCAAACAAAATTAAATGAGACTGAACCTGATAAAAGGGAAAGTGTTTTATTTGTTTGTTTGTTTTATTGGTTAAACTTTTCTGATCTCCATTATCTCTGTTGTCCCCACGGTAAGTTTCATAATGTTTATATTGGTTGCTTGCAATGGAATACCAGTTCCTCCTTCCAAATATATTTTTGAAACAATATAAAAATATGTGTACCATTAATCTGAAAGAAAGAGCATTGCCAAAAAGAAGGTTTATTTGGAAAGATGCATATAATGGAGAGAGACTGGGAAATAAAGAAGGAGAAAAGGAGGATAAGATGGAGGAGTGAGGAGGATGCACCAAATGCTTTTAAGCTTTTATAGTTTATATTCTTTCATTTTAACTCATAATATTCTATTAAAAATGTCAGCATAATAATAACCTGTGGCTGCCTTCTCTTAATGCTGCAGTAAGTGTATCCTGGGCTAATAAACTCTGAATCCAAAATACCTGGAGAGCCTTGGTCTCCATGTATATTCAGCCCAAGATGTGGTTATCACCTTGTAAAAAAGAAGCACTTCTTGTATATATTGCTAGCTATGCCGTACCCACTCTTGCCTTTGGACAGTAAACTATTCAAGATCTTCTTTACTATTTGTTTTGCTTAGTATTTTTTGCCTGTTATAAAGTGACACTTTATAAAAGGATATACATACATAAATACATATATACATGTTGGTTTTGTATATAAGATTTAGAGGTCATAGTCATCATTCTTGTTTAAAGGGTTGAATTTAATCTAAATCTCAATAAAGACTTACAGCATGTGAATATAATTTACATGCTTTTTGACAGAAAACACGGTTTCATGGACTTTAGATTTAATTTTATGTCATTCTTTGATTAAATTAGACGTTTGATACAGGTATATGTGTTGACATAATATATTTAGTCATCTGCAAACTGATTGACTTAGTATCACATGACATTCTGAATAAAAAAAGTACTATATACATTCAATATATTATATATTATATAAACAAGTGGCTAATTGATTGATCTCATAATGTAATTCTTAATGGGCAAGCATGGATGTAGTGAAGTTTGAAAGGTATTTGTGCTCCACCCATTGCTATTTAGTATTTTTATTGATAATGTAGAAGTAAACATGAAATCATTGCTGATTAATTTTGCAGGTGACACAAAAGTTAATGCAGTAGTAAATTAAAATGTGGATAGGTCATTTCTACAGATCTATCTGGAGAGTTTGGTGTGTGAGACACAATTGTACATTTGTTTTAACAGAGCCAAAAGGCAAAGTCATATACCTAGAAACAAAGAACATAGGCCACACTTATGGGGCGGGGTGGGTGGGTGGGAACTGTATCCTGGAAAACAATGACTCCTAAAAAAGATTTTTGGGTGATGGTATATAACAAATTGAATGTGGCCTTGCATTGGAATGCTGTGGATTGGAGTGCTAATGTATTCCTTGGATGTATAAAAAGTGGGAATAGGGAACTGGAATTACTTCTCCTTACAATATTGGTGAGGCAGAATACTGTGACAAGTTTTGTTGTCCACAATTTAAACTGGATGTTGAAAAATAAGAGTGTGTTTAGAGAGCTCAAAGAATGAACTGGTATCTAGAAAACACAGCTTACATTGAGAGACTTAAAGAGGTGAAACTATTATTTTATTGAAGAGGAGATTAAGAGATGACTTGATCAAGATCTATAAGTACTTACAAAAGGAGAAGATAACTGAGGATAGCACTCAATGTATTAGAAAAAGACAAAACAAGATCTAATAACTGGAAGTTGAAGCTAGATAAATTTAAATGGAAAACAAGTCACAAATTAACTAGTGGAACAGATAACCAAGGGATGTGGCACATTCTCCATTGCTTGGAGATATAGATATGGATATAAAAGATATTCTCTAATTCATCCACAAGTATTTGGTCTCTATGTAAGAATTATTGAGTGAAGAGCTATGACTTGTGGTATGCGGGTCAGATTAAATTATCATTATAATCCTTTCTGGCCTTGAAATCTATGAAATTTTATAGATTGTTTAAGTGAATCATCACCGAGGAAGAAATTAAGCTGTAAAACTTATGACAATTACTCATCAAGTATAATATTAAAATAATTAAACACAAAAGAGCTTATATAGTTTTAAATGTAGCATATACATAATCCGCAATTGTAAGAACAAATATGTAGGAGCATAAAAACATCACAATTTATTCTACAATATATGGAATCTCAAAAAATGAGTGTGTGTTTGCATGTGAGCACAGTCCTATATAACCATCAAAATAGTAGAACTTGTGTAATTGAGACTTAAAGACAATTCGAAATATGCTCTTCACACAGACACACACCATCACCACCACAAAACAATATTGTTCTGTGCTGCTGGAATACTGTGAGAACCCATTCTCTGTCACAACAAAACAATGGTTATCAAGGATGGACCTCTGGATCCTGGTTCATCACATGTATTTGTTTAATGTGACAAGAAGACAAATTCTTCATTACATCGCACATGGTTTGATGGGAGTTGTTGTGAATTGGGAAAAGGCATCTTCAAATATCCCTTCTTATCTTAGCAAGGGATTGAGAGGGGTGATTTGATGAGAGGAGGTGGCCACTCCCTGGAAGAAGGCAATGGGGTACTAAGGCTTGTCTTCCTGCCTGCTCAGCGTGCACATAGTGGTTCTACTTGAGCCTGGGCTTTGGAGAGTAGAGTAGAATCTCCACTTTGCTTGGGCATGCATTGGCCAGTTTAGGAGGATGCCAGATGATTGGCTCCAGTGAAAGACCTCACCACCACTCCCCATAGTATGAATCCCCAAGCACACAAGTGTCATTTTTGCTGCTGGAAGGTGCCCCACTCCTCTGCCTTATAAGTGCTGTATCTGTCAGAGCTGGGTTCCCAGGCTTGTTGAGGGTCTAACCCAATCACCTTTTGGGGTCAGAAAGGAACTTTTCCTTCTGGGCAATATTGGCAGGGTGGCTTTTCGGTTATTTGTTTGTTTTGTTTTTCCACTTTTCCAACAGTGTCTTGGAAGTAGGGGATAATAAGCATAGAAATAACACCCCATCCTTCAACACTCCCCCACCAAAAAATGGTATTGGGATCATCAATATGGTCCTAACTTCTGTCCAGTGTCTTTTGAGCATGATAAGAGGCTTTATGGTTCCAGTTTCTGGGGTAAACCTGAGCACATGACCCACAGGGACTGGGAGATCCTATTATGCCGTGAGATGAGGGGAAATTTTAAGTCTTTTAAGAATTAGCCCCCATTATCTGTCCCCTTGTATTCCTTCATGGTGGGAAGGTGGTGGGATTCTACAGTGTGCTGAATCATGATTTTGATAGCAGAATGTTGGCAAAGGAAACCAACCCTCATTCTTTGGTTGCATTGCATTAAGACAAGATGGTAAGTGGTTGGTTTGTTTGTAATTCATTAGAGTGTCAGACATTTGTGTTGCATGTTCCAAGTAAATTAGATCAGGTTAGGTGATCACTTGAAAGTGGGCATTTTGTAGTAGAGCAGATACTTTATTTTAGCACTAGTTCTTCTTCTGTATTTACACTGTCATTGCATAGAAACAGATATGAAGATAATTAGGATATGAGAAAACCTACTATAAATATGCTGATACAATATACCAGGGGTCGGCAACCTCTGGCACGCGGCTCGCCAGGGTAAGCACCCTGGCGGGCTGGGCCAGTTTGTTTACCTGCCACGTCTGCAGGTTCGGCCGATCGCGACTCCCACTGGCCACGGTTCACTGCTCCAGGCCAATGGGGGCTGCGGAAAGTGAAGCGGGCCGAGGGATGTGCTGGCCAGTGGGAGCCGCGATCTAGCAATATAAGTGCATTTAAAAAGCGATATACTACAGCTTGCTTTTTTAGGATAAGAATTAGTGTCTCAGTTATATGTTAAAAAATCATCATCTTAGTTCCTAAATAGCAGGCATTTAAGTTGGATTTCTGTTTTTCTATTTTGGTGTTATCAATAAAACTAGTACTGATGCTATTATAATATTAGGCTGATGACACTTCTTAGAGATATGCAAAATACGTCTCATAAAGGACCTAATTTATGTGGCATATTTTGTATGCCACTAAGAACTCTATCAGCTTTCAATTTGAATATACTATATAAATGCACTTTTTTAAAGAGAAAAACTAAATTTTCTCTGAAAATTCCAGGTGAAACACTTCCAGATGAAGCAATCAGTCACTTTAATAGGTTTTCAGACATACAGATGCCAATGATGCCAATATTTTGACAAAGAAATCCCACAAAATTCCCCCCTTAGCATACATACCAGGAGCATATGCTTATAGTCCTTGATGTAACAAATCACTTCATTGTATTCCTAACTTTAAGCCTGTTAGCAATGAGTAGAATTACTCATGCTTAATTTTAAGAACATGCTTAACTACTTTGCAGGATTGATGCCATAAAGAAGGTCTGTGGAGGCCATTTCTTTTTCCCTCATGACAGTATAAAGACATATCAATTCTTGCCAAACATACTTTCTATTACAACTTTGTGCCTACTTTCTAATCGCACAAAACTGAACACCCTTGCCCCGTCCCTTCTCCGAAGCCCAGCCCCCGCACTCCATCCCCCCTCCCTGCGTTGCTCACTCTCCCTCACCCTCACTCACTCACTCATTTTCACCGGGCTGAGGAGGGTCCCTTTTCGACCAGGTGTTCCAGTTGAAAACCGGACACCCGGCAACCCTAATTTACATCTTTATTGGAAATGTCTATACTGGTGTTCAGTGTGTCTCCTCTTATTTGTCTCTTCTTTAAACAGTCCCAGTCTCATCAGCCTCTCATAGAGAGGTTGTTGCAATCATTCTCAGTACCCATCTTAAAACACCCATCTATTTCTGCTATATCCTATTGTAGATAGCATGAGAGTATTCACTACAGTGGTGCTATATTATTTTCTGAAGTATGTGGATATAATGGGGAAAATGTTTAACATGAGACGATGGCTTCTGTTTAGTTAAGGCTTGCTTAGATATGATGTCATGAAAGACTGCATGGTTGAATAAAAATTACCTAACACTGAACTAGAGGAACGGGCAAGAACCTGTATAGAAAGGTCCTCCTCACTGGGGGGGAGAAGGGGGTTAACACCTCACATTTTGTGCAGTCTGGTTTACTCCAAAAGAAAGACATTTTTTTTTTCAGAAGTATTTTTTTATGAGCCACAACAATAACTCATTGCTGAAAGCTATGTACACACAGGTTGGCAGAATTTTAACAGTGGGCTCCTGGAGGCACCTGAGAGCCACCTTGCACTTGCCGATATGCAGCATCAGCCAATATGCAGAGCAGTTTATAACTGAAAACAGATGAAGTTTACACTCTAATTGCTAAACTTTTCAACTTTTCACAGCTATAGGTTTGGACTCTTGCCCCGAACCACAGACCCCTAGCAATGGAATTAAAATTGGAGATAGATACATGGTTGGAGATGTGGTCTCTTTCCACTGTGATCAGGGATATTCCCTTCAGGTAGGTCAATTTTACAGTTTCAAAAATCTGTCTTTCACTTCTTCAATATTTTTATGTTCTTCTATATCAACTCCACACTGAAAATGTCATCATACTAGATTAGATTATGGTTTTGCAGGGCTGATAAATCTCTTTGTGTCAAATGTATGATCTACCACTATCCAACTGTCCTCCAAAAAGTGGGTATGTACTTGGGCGGCTAGCCCAAGCCACTGCCTGTGCTCCCCTGGCTACACTGCTCTTTTTAGTGCACTAGCTTGAGCAGAGCTAGCACAGCTACATCTGTGTGAGCTGGGAATCGCACTGCCAGCTCCAAGTGCAGATATAGCCTAAAATTCTCCCTCATATCCTAACTTTCCTCTGTTGAGGCAGGGGGTCCTTTACACCCTTAATGGTACAACAGGATTTTCCTCTTAATAATAAGCACAGTGACTAAGGTCTCTGTTGTCCAGTAAAGAAACTATTAGGAATCCTGTTCTATACTGGGCAGCCAGATTGAGTTATATGGGATGACTAGTATGCCTAAGTTGACACCATGTGTATATATGATTTCAATGTTTTCTATGTTTGCAGCTCATGGAGATTTAGAAATCCCAACCACAGTCAAATCTTTAACATAGATCTGTAAATCTTAAGGAGCAGAATCTGGTTCACTTTCTGGCTTTGGTTATGTAAGTGGTTGCCGTGGAGTTCCTTGCTCCCTCTGCTTAGCAACAGGAGGTAGCATGAATGACAGCAATAGAAAGTATGTACGCTCAGGATGGCAGAGCTTTTGCAACAGGAATGTTTGTTTTCCCTCCTTGCCATTATATTCCTTGCTCATCCTCACTCAGTTCTGCAAACTGCTATTTGGGTTTGGGACTTCTGTCCTCATCCTTCCTCATACCCCTCCCCCCCGGCCAGCCATGGGACTATCTGAATGCTGTGATTTCTCTACCTTTCGAAATTAGCTGATGGGGCCTCTGCCTCTCCTAATGCTTTTCTTGCAGCTTCAACTGTGACCTTCTGGAGGTCTCCGTTTATTCTTTATGTTGCCTAGAAAAGGAAGGCAGCATGAGGATGATTGTAGGAGGCCGCCATTAAGGAGCAACACAACAATTATTTCTGTATATTTTCACCTTTGTTTTATTTCATACAAAAATATTGGAGCATGAATAGATAAGTCACACTGAACATGTGAAAAAAAAATGTAATAATTAACAGCATAGACCGTACAAACACACACACACACAATCCCATTGGACTGTTTTGCCGTCACATACAGTATGATATTGTCACTTTGGTTTTGTGTCAACTCTGAGCTGATAGCATGCAGTAAGACGGAAATGTTTTCTTTCTCTACTTGGAGAGAAGATAAGTGGGCCGCAGACTAATTAATAAATTGCCCTAAATTACTGTGTGTGGGCTTTACAAATACTCAGTTCCTACAGATACTGTAGGCTTTGAACTGCAATACAGCTTTAACAATAAAAGCAGCTCATTTCAAATCAAGGTTGCACAAATAGTTCTAACAAGATCATCTTGAAATATACACTCTATAATTTTCCAGAAGAGCCCAGATGCATTATAGTTCTTTTAACTTTCTGTTTGATATCCCATCCCAGACATTCATGATTACATAAGAGATGCTGAGCCAGATAGTGGCTGTCTCTGGGTGTGTCATGGAACTATCTTGATTTGGATTGTCTTGATATACCAAAGGAGGAACTTTAGAACATTTATGGCACATATTTTGTTGTAAAAGAGCACTACTTCTTAGAGAGAACAGTACTGTAACTCTAATGTTTTAATTTCTGGACACTTAAACCAATTTGTTTTTCTGTCAGGAGTGGCTTAATCCTTTAGAAAACATTTTTCTTGACCTAAATGTAAATATCTTTGCCAAATCTGCTAAAACATCAGTATTGGAATACACTAATAATTAAACAATACTGAATTGCTTTAGTTGGATTTGGATCTTGAGTTTTTAACCTTTACAGTGTGATTCAGCTCATCAAAATGTTATGGCTAGTATCACAGAATTCAAGCCTGTATTCTTAGTACCAGCAATAAAATTATAAACCATGGAGCCATTTGTTAAAGGGGTGGATAGTCACACAAGTAAGGGTTACATGTTCCAGTAAAGTACAAACTACAAAATAAGAATAGAGGTAAAACTTTTTATAAGCTCTTCCTTTTTATTCATATTGATGTTGTCAAGAAATATCACTGCATGTTATTTTAAATAGTGTACTGTATTTGTAAAATGCATTAATATATGTCTTGTCTTGTCATTGTAGGGACATTCACATATTACCTGTATGCCTGGACCAGTGAGAAGATGGAATTACCCTATTCCAATATGTTTAGGTATGTTTATTGTATATAAAATTTGCTTCTTCAGTTTGCCAGACTGAAAATTATGCAAGACTTGGAGATAAAGGGTGTTTGATTATGGAATACACATCCAATGGAGATCAGGCCAATCTGTAGTCAGAGTGCACTGTGAAACTGTCCTCTTTGGCAAAGCTTTCCCACAATAGTCAAATATGTGGAAGAAAGGAGGAAATATGTCCCAAGTAGAACCTCCTCTACCAGGGAAGGGAGAAGAGCAGAAGACTTATCAATTTCTCCAGGGACCTCTTTAGGCAGAGCTAATGTATCTATTAGATACTACACTGGTGAGTTCTATAGAAAACTATAAAAGAAAGAAAGAAAGAAAGAAAGAAAGAAAGTGTGATGTGATTAAAATTGAAATCTCACCTGTAACTACCATCTACAAGTATCTCCCTCATTTTGCAGCACAATGTGGTGGTGCTATGTCTGACTTCAGTGGAGTGATTCTTAGCCCTGGGTTTCCTGGAAACTATCCCAGCAGTTTAGATTGCACATGGACAATAAAGCTACCTATTGGGTTTGGTATGTATCCTTTCAAGAATTATCTTGTCTCCTGTGTTTATAGCTTTAAAATACTTAACAATTTTTAAAAATATTTTATATATTTATATTGCCCCACAGATTTCTGCCAGTAGATTTAAAATACATTTTAAAGATTAGCAGTGTCATAAAACCGAGAATCAGGTTATAGGGCTTGTGCATAAAGAAAACAATGATAAAATTTCCCCAAAACTACTGTCAATTGCTTGTATCTGCTTTTAAATATATAACTAGTTTACTATTTTTAAAGTTTACTCCATCCTTAGTCATTTTATATTTATAGTATGTATGTTATTTTATGCAGATAGTACACCGAATAATGAATAAATAAAGCTAGAAACAAAACCGTATGAAATAAAAAATACTGAAAAAAGTTTAGTACTAAATTAATTCTCCAGCACACTTTCTGCACTTATGTTCAGTGTTACAAAACCCACTCACTGTGACAGATATGCATCTACGTTGGTGCCCAGCAACCTTTTACTTCTAAGAGTGGATCTGCAAAAATTGGTGTTAAATGGATGCCAATTAATTATCCAGTAAATTATAGACTTCTGGTCAGAGAAGAGAATTCTTCTCCCTTCCCTGCCAGACTGATAAGTAGCACAACAGGATTTTTTCTCCCCATCCAAGCACTAGTAAAAGAACAACCTCTGTTCAGTTATCATTTAAATAGAAGATCTGGGCAACAGACTCAATGCTATAATAGACTTTATCACAATGTCCCATGGACTTCAATAGAGATGAAACCAGTAGGGTTCTATGGAAAATAAATATGTCTTTAGAACTTACTGTTAAACACCAAATAAATTTACCCATGAAGTGTCATTGGGCCAGAGAGAGAATGCCCTGATGGCCTATCGATTCTTACACTCACTTGGGAGATTGGAGACCCAGCTTCAAGTTCCTTTTCCAATGAATATTTATTTATGCAAAAGGTGAGACAGAATCCCACTCCCAAATAGCCAGGGCATTCACATGGGATGCATGAACAAGGCAGAGTACGGAGTTGAACCTAGGTCTCCTACAGTCAAGGTGACTGCCCTCACCACCTGCCTATTTTGGTTTCTTGTGCCCAAAATTTCTTTTTGCCTTTTTTTTTAAATCCATAAGTGCTCAATTTTGTCCCAGTGCTAAATGGGAAAAGTTTTGAAATCTTGAAATGTTTTGTGGGACACGAAAACTATTTCCCACACCGTTCTATATATTCAAGAATATTAAACTTAACATAATTCTTCCTGAACGAAATGCATCTTTGGGGCCTGGGCACACGTTATTTTCGGCTACATGATAGACCTATCCAAATAAAATAATTTGAGAACCATTTTTCACCCAGAAAATATCAGAAAACAGTGCCGGTCATCCATATTATTCATTGTCTATTGTTGTCCCTTTGCTGTGATTTCATATTAATGAGTTAAGAGCCATTTCACCTTTAAAAATACACTTGGTATGTTGTATACAAATGGTTTCTAATTAATATATTTGAAAATTACTGACACAGAAACACACACATGCAAAAGAACATCATTAAGGTTGTAAAGTCAAGCACTCAAAAGTTAGGAAATTCCAGAATTAAGGATGCCACTTGTGCATTATGCATATGTTTTATGATTCAGTCTTTAAATTACACGTCCACATACTATTTTTTTTTCTACAGCACCCCTGCCATTCAATAGGACTTAAGCACCTGATTAAGTGCTTTTTGAATAAGGGTACTTTCCTGAGTTGGAATTTTTGGTTACAGGCTTTTTTAAATTTTCAAATAATCTTTATCTTAACCACTGTTTGTGTGATAAGGTACTAAAAACAAAGGGCACTTAATTTACAGTTATTTTCAATTATTGTTAATTAAATGTGAATATCCAGTCATGGCTGATTTGCAATTGATTTAAATGGATATTTCATTTGATATTTTGCTATTTTTTCTGAGATTTTTGGCCTGATTAAATTTAAAAAAATGTTTGTTGTGCCATTGTATGCCTAATTCAGGGGAGGCTAATAAACTTATGGATCAGTTAATGGAGGGTGTTCAAAGTATAAAGGTCCATTGAAAAAATATAAAGACATTCATGAGGCAAACAAGCACAATATTGAGTCAAAATGAAAGGGTGACAGAATTTCAATGAAAGTGGACAAGTAGGGAGGACGGCAATGGTTTTTAAAAGGACTTGAAGGAGATGGCAAAAAGTTTGAACTTGATATAGTGGAAGAGAGCCCCAATGGAGTAATTAAAAGAGAGAGAGGGGCCATTGTGACTTGAGTGACAGGCAACAAAGATGATTTCAGAGCTGCCATTTGCATAGAGTGGAAGGGTGAGCGTGGAATATGAGAGTCAAGGAGGCTAGAGGGGAGGAAATGCACTTATCAAGCACTCATCCATGATTATGAGGCATTTGAAGTTTTAGGTCTGTGAACTGAAATAAATTACCAACTCTAGAAATGTTACAGAACAAGAAAGGGGCAAGGTTTGGACACAGCCTGGTTGCAGGGTGTGAGAGAAAGAGAGTTTATGAGCCTGAATGACTAGATGGAAGGTGGTTTTGCCAACAGGAACAGAGAATGGGGGGAATGGATGTTATTTTAGAGGGGGAAAACAGGGGGTTTAGTTTTAGTCATGTTAACCTAAACTTGGAAGGATGGCAGAACCAAAGAAGGAAAGAACAAATTTATAATGGAAGAAGTCTATATGTTGTTATGAGATTTTCTCCAAAGCAAATACAGCATAGGTACAGAGGCAGAAGTAATTGTAATTAAATCATGTACTAAATTTGTTCCTATAGAATATAAATGTTACATGACTCAGAAAACTATTCACAATGCTTGCATTGTATCCGGAAAGAAATCTCTAGACATTGCAGTGACCAATACTATTTAAATATTAAGATTTAGATAGTTACAAAATTATTAATGATTATTCAATAATTATATTGACATTATATGTCTTAATTGAACATTATATGAAATCATGATGATTGTCTTTGCCAGAACCACCAAAGGGGCTCAATCATCTTTGTAATGAAAGCACTGCATTATCATTGTACAGTGGCATTAAATCACTTCAGACAAAATAGAAATGCTGCTTTATTGTACCTTATTCAGAACAACATAAAAAGGGAAAATGTTTAACGGGTCCAGTATCCTCTATTTTGGTTGAGCAGTTCCTCCTCCTGCTGTCCCCTAATAATTGTAACAAATCATATGGAGGAGATAGATAATCTGCAACTCATCTCATAAACTCTTTTGTTGTTCTTCATTGAATCAAAGATGCAGAAATGTCTCATTATTTACAAGAGCATCCTTCAGCACAGTGTATGGGGAATTAAATATAGGAACTGCATTTCTAATTCCTACTGTGAAGTGTTGAAAAATGTATCCCATAATGTTAGAGTACACCCTGTTTTGAACGACTGAAATAAATTATGTATATGGTATTTATTGATTTGTACCTAGTGCCCCCTATAAAAAAATCAAAGCACTCTGAAGTATATTATTTAGAGATCACTTTATCTACCAATGAAATGAATATTTTTCTTGGATGGAACACAACTGAAATGAAAGGTACAATTGAGGTTATTAGACTGTAATTACCAAAAGTGAAATTTGGCAAAGATATTAGGAATAAAATCCTTAGTTTTGCAAAACATGCCATGGAATCTTTAATTACCTCAAAGGTCCAGTCCTTGGTTTGTATGTCTTTGGAGAGACAGCACTTTCAACATCAGTATTCTTGCTCTTGCTGGGGCATTAGGTTTAGTAATTACTGTACGAAGAGGAAAGACTGTTTTGTATTGAGTAACCAACATGACATCCTGCAGTATAATTGTAATTGTTTAATACCACCAATACATGAATTTATAATTTCCATCTGTATATAATTTACATAATTGATCTTTATTCATTGAATACCAAATGCTTTTGTTTGCCCATATTGTTTTTCAGGTGTGCATTTGCAATTCGTAAATTTCTCAACTGAGACAATACATGATTACTTAGAAGTAAGAAGTGGATCTACAGAAACTAGTACTGTTATTGGGAGACTTAGTGGTCCTCAGTTACCAGCTTCTCTGTTTAGTACAACTCATGAAACCAGCTTATATTTTCACAGTGACTACTCACAGAACAAACAAGGGTTTCATATTATATACCAAGGTGAGTGATTATGTGTGAACAAGCGGATTGTTATAGCTATGTTTTCATTGTTAGAAAATAAATGTGAAGGTTTATTCTGGAAAAGATTTGTGCATGATTCAAAAACAAAGTGTTATGCACAATTTAATAAATGTGGCACTGTGGTGGGATGCAGAGGCTACTTAACAATTCAGAGCAAATAATCATTCAGGGGGAAAAAATGAAGATGAGTACTATATACATTTAAAGTACAGTGGGAATGTATGAAGACTAATAATTGCCTGTGTTGGAAGTGGACAGTACATTGTAGATCATATTCCTACTCCTTTAAAAATAAGGTGTAGGATATTTAACAGTAAAATGGGCCTTAATATCATTGTCTGGCTATGCCAGAAGAAGGACAGGAGACACTGGATGTTGTTTAATTAGGCCATAAATTTATTCCTAAATATCAGGGTGTACATAGCGGATAAAAGTGTGTGGTGCAGGTAATTCTATAATCATTTACATATACCGGGGGAGGGAGAGACTGCTGACAGTCCTCCCTGTTTACCCATCTTGGTCCCCAGCCAGCCCATTGCTGGGGACCAGTCACTCCCCCCCCCCCAATCAAATGAGGGTTGAGGGGAGTAAGAAAAGAAAAAAGGAGTACCAGTCATAGGAGCCCTGAACTCTCACTATTTCTCCTCCCTTAAAGAGGACCTCATATAAATCTTTTACCAATCCATTTTATCTGACCACTGTATCCCTTCCCTACAGAGTACCTGCCCCATACTCACATAATGAGTTGCAACATTGTAGTCTAACCCCCATTTCATATATGCCCCAAACCAGCTGTGGGAAAGGCGAAAAAGCTCCACCTTGCCTTCCCAGCCCCCCAAGAAAGGAGCATAAGAACATAAGCATGGCCATACTGGGTCTGACCAATGGTCCATCAAGCCTAGTATCCTGTCTTCTGACAGTGGCTGATGCCAGATACTTCAGAGGGAATGAACAGAACAGGGCAATTTATTGAGAGATCCATCCCTTATTGCCCAGTCCCAGCTTCTGGAAGTCGGATGTTTATGGATACCCAGTCCTATGTAACATATTCATAGACAATCTGGAAAAAGGGGTAAACAGTTAGGTGGCAAAATTTGCAGATGATACAAAACTACTCAAGATAGTTAAGTCCTAGGCAGACTGCAAAGAGCTACAAGACATCTCACAAAACTGGGTGACTGGGCAACAAAATGGCAGATGAAATGTAATGTTGATAAATGCAAAGTAATGCACATTGGAAAACATAATCCTAACTATATATATACAATGATGGGGTCTAAATTAGCTGTTACCACTCAAGAAAGATCTTGGAGTCATTGTGGATAGTTCTCTGAAATCATCCACTCAATGTGCAGTGGCAGTCAAAAAAGTGAACAGAATGTTGGGAATCATCAAGAAAGGGATAGATAATAAGACAGAAAATATCATTTTGCCTCTATATAAATCCATGGTACACCCACACCTTGAATACTGCGTGCAGATGTGGTCACCCCATCTCAAAAAAGATATATTGGAATTGGAAAAGGTTGAGAAAAGGGCAACAAAAATGATTAGGGGTATAGAACTGCTTCTGTATGAGGAGAGATTAATAAGACTGGGACTTTTCAGCTTGGAAAAGAAGCGACTAAGGCGGGATATGATAGAGGTATATAAAATCATGAGTGGTATAGAGAAAGTAAACCAGGAAGTGTTATTTACTCCTTCTCATAATACAAGAACAAGGGGCCATCAAATGAAATCAATAGGTAGCAGATTTAAAACAAACACAAGAAAGTATTTTTTCACACAATGCACTGTCAACCTCTGGAACTCCTTGCCAGAAGGTTTTGTGAAGGCCAATACTATAACGGGGTTCAAAAGATTCATGATAGATAGATTCATGGAAGATAGGTCCATCAATGGCTATTAGCCAGGATGGCAGGAATGGTGTCCCTAGCCTTTGTTTGCCAGAAGCTGGGATTGGGTGATGGCATGGATCACTTGATGATAACCTGTCTGTTCATTCCCTTTGGGGCACCTGCCATTGGCCACTGTCAGAGGACAGGATACTGGGCTTGATGGACCTTTGATCTGACCCGTTCTTATGTTCTTATGTTCAGAGCATGGGGTTACTTCCCCAGCCATTGATGGACCTATCCTCCATTAACTTATGTAATTTTTTCTGAACCCAGTTATACGTTTGACCTTCACAATATCCGCTGGCAGTGAGTTTCACAGGTTGACAGAGTGCTGTGTGAAGAAGCACTTCATTATGCTTGTTTTAAACCTGCTGTCTATTAATTTCATTGGTTGACCCCTAGTTCTTGTTTTATGTGAAGGGGGTAAATAACACCTCCTTATTTACTTTCTCCACACTAGTCATGATTTTATAGATTTCGATCATATCCCCCCCCCCCTTAATTGTCTCTTTTTTAAGCTGAAAAGTTGTTTATGAGGAGAGTTTTTAATCTCTCCTCATATGGAAGCTGTTCCATACCCCTAATATTTGTTGTTGTCCTTCTCTGTACTTTTTCCAATTCTAATATATCTTTTTTGAGATGGACTGACCAGAACTGCACCTAGTACTCCAGGGGTGGAGGCACAATTATGTGACTAATGCCAATAGTTGATCATGACAAAGCCTGGTATTTAACTGCTTATATATCTATACTGCTACTCTGCCTGTTCCAGGCAAAAGAGGGCTTTTCCTGCCCTTGCATGGACCTAAATAGCCCCCTCTCTCTTCCAGTCACCCGTGGGAGAATGGTAGGTCAGCATCCTCACACTAACTTAGTCTGAAGCTGCTGGATTCTCTGGCTATCTCTAGCTTTTATAGGGCCTTATGCACCTTTTCCTACAAGCTAGAAAATAGTCCCCATTGCTTAATGTGCAGTGAGGTCATTCTGGGACATTGGTTTGGTATAGACTAAGAGGGAACAATGCCATGCAGTGAATCACCAGATCCACCTTCTGCAGCAGCCTGTGATTTCTTTGGAAAACTCCTGCACAAGTACTAAGCAGACCAGCCCTGTAGCGCTTGTGAAGACTGATAAAAACAAAGCCGTTGGTGATATAGCCGCAGGCTCATTCCGAAGGAATTGGATCAGCAATCCAATTGCTGGAATTGGATCTCTTGTTCAAAGAAAAGGCCTACGTATTTAAAAACAATAACCATTTTCATGGTATGGCTTATGTGAGATACATGATCTATCCACTTTCTGAGTTGGAAAAGATCCAGACTAAACAGAATACCCCATGTTATTATAGAAACCACCCTGCAGTAAAGCTTCTTAGAAAATGTTAGAATGACAAGAATCACACCAAATCATAATCCAAATCTTGAAGTATCTTCTAACATGTTCCTAACTCCATGTTTAGGCAAATTCTAGTTGGCCTCTTTGGGAATCTAGATTTAGTGCTAAATGAACAAAATAATATGCCATTTGCCAAGGAGCACTGTGAGATCTATGCACCACAAAAACATGATAAAATGCTAAATAAGGGTAGATTATTATTATTTATTAATTAATCAGAGCTACATCTATTAAATATATTTTGGAAGAGACACTGCATGTGTGATGGAATTGCTCTTAATGCTTTAAACATTTTAGAGAGATATTGATACTCACCTATATATAGGGGTCCAATCAATGGTCTCCAAATTGGGGTCTCCAAATTTTCCAGATTCGGTGGAACACCTCTTTCCTCAACAATTCTACAATACAAGGCAGAGGAGGTCTGGGTATTTCATGACTTCTTGAAAAAGGCCACCTGAAATTGTGAAATAGGTTTATACTCTTTACAACTTTCACCAGTAAATCTCAGTGCTGGGATCTTTTATACTTTTAGATTTGCTAGGGGAAAAAAGAGTAGAGATGAAGATAAGTAGCCTTAATGTCAGCTGTTCTCTTTCAGCATATGTAATGCATTGGGCAGCAGTTAGTAATCATCCACAGAGCCAGGAGTGGCCTGACTTTGCATAGGTTCATGGGGAGAGGGCATAAGGAGCATATTCTGTCACTCTTTTCTCCTCCTGAACAGGAGCTGGACAAAACTGCAGTTCTTGTGCTTTCTAAAGTGCAAGAATATCTCCCATTAGTGCATCGGTCGGGGCAATACACTCCAAAATATGCAAACCCATGGTATACTGTTGCTTTTTTGCACATACCAGCAAAAGGGAGAGGTCACTGAACACCTCAAGGCATGTAGCAGTGACTGCTTCCTGTGTGAATGAACGAGCGCCAGATGGTGTTGTGTGATTACTTCCTACCACCCTGGCCAGGGTATAGCGCCACAATCCCCCCCACTCCCACCCCCACCCCCATGCAGATCAGATGGTCTTTGATTATTACTGTGTCATAAAGTGACTAAATGACTGTAAGGCTTTATATTCTTCTTCCTTTGGTAGAATCGGAGAGAAGAGCAAGGGCTTTTCTTTTGTCACCCAAAATGTAAAGCTTCTAATACTAAAGCATTAAAATACAGATCAGAACTGATATTACATTTTAGGACTATTTTAAAAAAAAAATTTATTATTTATTTCAGCTTATCAGTTGCAAAGCTGTCCTGACCCTCGGCCATTCCGTAATGGTTTTGTGATTGGAAATGACTTTACTGTAGGACAAACAATTTCATTTGAGTGTTTTCCTGGATACACCTTAATTGGAAATTCAGCACTGACTTGTCTACACGGAGTCAGTCGTAATTGGAACCATCCTCTCCCCAGGTGTGAAGGTATGTATTGTGTAAAGATATGCCATCCCATATTCCCCTTCCCTTTACTTCATCAAATCAAACCTCTCTTACTGTTTAATAATTTGTTGTCTGTCTATAGGCTGGATTGAAAAGCCTTACTTTACTTATTACTACTGCCACAGACAGCTCCTTGAGATTTCTCTTTGAGCTCAATTGGTAGAGTCCTGTGTTTTTAGAGCAGAAAGTAGTTGCAGAGAAGAGCTGGTTGGAATTGGGCTGTTTTGTCAAAACCAAAACATTTCATGGAGATGTATCAGTTTCCACAACATTTTTTTGGAGAGAGTCCGTAACTAGGTGGCTAGATTACTGGGCTGGAATTTGGAAGACGTAGGGTTAAGTCCCTGCTCTGCCTGATTTGAAATGAAAAACTCTGCTCTGAATAAGGCTAATCAGGGATTTGAACCTGAGTCAGACACACATATGGTTTTGTTTTCTTTCTGCAACAGAAAAAAATGATAAATTTAGAAACCTTAAAAAGATGTTGCAAAACAGAATTGTCCTCCTCTGGTCAGCTCTGTGAGTTTATTTTGCCATGCCACTTAAATTGTTTGGAATTTGACGACGTTGAGATAGAAAGATATCCAGGTTAGCTTTACTTGTGGACTCACATATGAAGTGAGCAGCTGCAAAGGATTTTGATTTGAGTGAGATTTTCCTGCATTTGAGCCCAAAAGGAAATAGAATGGCTATGCTGCTTACAGAAGGTTTTTCTGCATCTATTTCTGTGGTGAAAAAAGTTTCCTGATGAGGCCGACTGTGTCAGCTAGGTTTCTGTGATGCAGATGAGGTTTGGTGACTAGTTGGCAATAGGATAATGGAGAAAAAAAGACTTATTGACCACAGATTGGGACCCTCGGCCCACACCGCTTCCCGCAGCCCCCATTGGCCTGGAACGGCGAACCACAGCCAGTGGGAGCTGCGATCGTCTGAACCTGTGGACACTGCAGGTAAACAAACTGTCCCGGCCCACCAATAGCTTTCCCTGACGGGCTGCGTGCAAAGGTTGCCGATCCCTGATCTAATGTACTAGATAACTAGGGAATGGCAAAATGGCTCAACTTGCAGAGGAATTGCATCTGTTCATTTTTTGTGCAAGCATCTGAAGTAGTATCTTTATTAAGTGTGTTAACATTTTGCTATGTCATGATTGTTTTTTTTTTTTAAGATAATTAGGTATCTTCTGCTTGCATTTGTTTTTATTTGAGATTAAAGTTCTTCAAAGCATGAAAATCAAGTTGGTATTGTTTGTTTTATTTTGTTTTTCTTGTATGCTTAACTGGAGAGGAGAACACTTTTAAAAAATTTTAACAATATTTAATGTAATATATTTGTTTTAACATACTATAGATTTATGACTTATCAAATAATGCCTGCCTCTTCGAGGCAAACAACCTGAATCACATCTCAATAAAGAGGTGTTTTGGGTTTTTAAAATCATTTTTGTTTCCATGCCTGAAGAGGAGGAAAAAATAATTCACTGTCATTTCTTTGAGATTCTGCTTTTCTAAGATATTTGATTCTGATAAAGCCCTTCTAAATTCCACTTGCTGTTCTTCGTCTTAGCATAGTTAAAACATTGTCCGAAATCCTTTGCTTGCTTCTGTGGACACATTACATGTAAAAGCAGCAGAAATGCAATGTGTCCACTGTGTGGCTTGCTTGGGCTGTGGAGAATCTAGACATAGATCTCCATATAGCCCTGCATGCCAAGTAGAATGCTGAAAGTCTCCATGCTGTACCATTAAAGATGATGTGGGCGTATACAGGTAAACTCATACACATAGCAATCCCCTTAGGACAGTAGTGTTACACTCCTCCATACCCTGCCACAGCTGGTCACATTTAGGTTGAAAGCCCTTAAGCATGTTTTGGGGCTAATGATTCTTTGCCTCAGCCCCACTATTCTTCAGGAAATTTACTCTGAATAAAGCGTACTTATGTGGGCTTTGCTCTGTTTCCCAGGATTTGGCCTGATTATTACTACTTTGGATTCTATGCCATAATCCCTCAATGTTGTCTATAGAGAAATAGGAAAAACTAAAGAGAAAAAGTATGAGGGGAAAATCATGAGTTCAGCAGTCTAAATATATTATGTAATGCATATGTATAACTAAAAACTTTAGAGCCAGAGGCGCACTGGATGAAGGGTTGAGGGGGCACACTTTGTCAGGAAACTGTAGGAAGAATTCTTGCTTACTTAGCCAGAACCACTCTTGGGAAATGCAAAATTGCTTTCCTTCTTGTTCTGCATTGCATACTTTCTACTGTTTCTCTCCCTCCACACTCACACCAAGCCAGTTCCACCTATCCTCAATCAGGACCGGCTCTAGGCACCAGCGCTGCAAGCATGTGCTTGGGGTGGCACTTTCCAAGGGGCAGCACTATGGCACACCCCCCCCCCTTTTTTTTTTTTTTTTTTGGGGCGGCAAAAAGCCGGGAGCCAGCCCTGGCCAGAGCCCTGCCGCTGGAGAGCCAGAGCATCGTCCCCTGGAGCCGAGCCCAGGCTGCGGCGGCAAGAGGGGCTCCTGGAGTGTGTGAGGAGCCGGGGAGGGAGGGAAGCAGGGCCCAGGATGCAGGGAGGGAGGAGGGTTTCTGCTGCCACCACCGCTGCCGCTACCGCTGCTGCTCTGAGCCTCCCCAGGGTGGCGTAGCATTTCCCTGCCCGAGTGGGCTGGGCAGGGGGCGCGGATCCCGGCTCGTGTGCTGTTGGAGTGAGTGGCTGGGCTGCCCGAGCTCCCAGGGAGCTGCCCCCGGACTCAGCCCACCACGCACCTCCCCCGCCTCAGCCCCGTGCTGCTTGCCCCGGGTTCCCACAGTGCCAGGGGCGGGGAGAGGCAGAGCTCGGGTCCGAGCAGGACAGCGGGGGATACTGCCCCACCGGGGGACCCCCGCGGCTTGGGCACCTGGGGGTCAGTGTCTGTCCTCTCGGCTCTGCCTGCACGGGGCTGGGGAAGCAGCTGTCAGCGCCTGCCCCTCTCAGCCCTTGCACCCCCCATCCCACTCGCAGCCTCTTCACTGGTACCTCCCCCCATCGCTCCTTCGCCGTACCCCTTCCCCTTGTACTCTCCCTTCACCCGCACCTCTCCCCTTGTAACCTCCACCAGCCCTCTCCTCCCGCACCTCCCCCTTCCCCTGCACCTCTTCTCCCGCAACCCTCCTGATACCCCCTCTCCTCCTCCACCCTCCTCTGCGAGTACATCCCACCCTGCTTCTCTGCCAGTGTAGAGCCCCCAAGCACCCTCACACCCGCTCCTTTGCCTGAATCCTTTTATCTAGATCCCCATCTCTTTCCAGGTACAAGGTTTGAGGGTTAGTCCCTATGCCTTCCATGTGCATTTTGGAGCACTAAAGATGGGGTGATGGGGGAGGGGGCGAAATTTATAGTCAAGTGAAATAAAAATAGGAGAAATGGTTTGATCCCCACTGCAAGTGTAAACGGGGATTGCTGTGCTGAACGAGGAGGTCACGTTTGGTGGTGGGGGGAGCCCAGGGCTGAGGCGGCAGGGGATGCGGGTGGGGGGGGAGAGAGAGAGCCCAGGGCTGGGGCGGCAGGGTGTGTGGGTGGGGGAGGGAGAGAGCTCAGGGCTGGGGTGGGGGGCAGCCAAAAATGTTTTTGCTTGGGCGGCAAAAAACCTAGAGCCGGCCCTGTCCCCCAATTCATTTTATGTAGCTATCCCCTGAGGACACAATGTGGGAGCAATTCTTGCACTCCCTATGTAACTGTCCCTGGCCTCTACACAGGGCCACAAAGAAGAAAGTCATTGCACTGTTTTCCTCATCTTGTGCATCCACACATGTGGTGGATAGGGTCAGGTAGAATTTAGCCTATTATCTAAAAATGGACTCGGGAGCAAGTCTTCAAGCCTTCTCTTAGTCAGAACTACTATGTTATTTTTTTTTCTGGGAGATTCAACTGAGTAAGGACTTCAGAATTGGGCCTCTTGCTGTTTGTAAAAGCTCAATAGCTTTTTCGTTTCTCATATCCAGCTGACGTTCTTTAGTTTTCCATAACACAGTTCAACTATGCACATGCTCAATGTATTCACAAATAAGGATTTCACACCATCTAAAAAGAATGCAAAAGTTATTGACTGCTCCTGCAGTGAAAATAAATGTGGTTGTTGTTGTTGTTTTGTTTGTTTTTAAGCTCTCTGTGGAGGAAATATAACTGCAATGAATGGCACCATATATTCTCCTGGATACCCTGATGAGTACCCAAACTTTCAGGACTGCTTTTGGCTTGTCCGAGTACCACCTGGTAATGGAATCTATATCAATTTTACTGTTCTTCAAACAGAGCCAATATATGATTTCATAACTGTATGGTAAGTAGACACAATTATTGATTTATACTACTACATGTGAGAGTGTAACAAGTCAGAGATTAAAAGTAACATTTTGGTTATGTGTCATAGATCTCTGCTTAATGTCTGAATTATGTTTAGTGACAGTGATGGATTTGCAAGACTAAACCAATGATAAAATGGGCATATTATATTTTCGTTCATGAAGTACCTAAATAGGGATAAAATAAATTTCAGGAATGAAGGCAATCCTGTTCCCATTGAAGTCAAGTCAAAATTTCTATTGGCATCAATGTTATAGGATCCGTAGTTTGATATTTTACTTGTTGGGAGAGTTTAGTCAAGTTATAAAGCATTACATGTAAAGAGGACTCTCACTTATTGACTTAGCCCAAGCACAAGGTGAATGAGGCAATATCTTTTATTCGACCAACTTCTGCTGGTGTGAGAGACAAACTTTCAAACATAAACAGAGTTCTTCATCAGGCCTGGGAAATGTACTCAGAGTGTCACAGCTAAATAAAAGATGGAACAGATTGTTAAGCATAAGGAGTTAACATGTATGTCCAGGAACCATTCAAGGTGAAGTGACCAGTTAACACCTCTCCAGTCATAGTGGAGAAAGAAGAAGAAAAAGCTGGAGGTGGGCAGGTTAGTGGGTTATAGATTGTTGTAATAAGCCACCAATACAGTGTCTCTATTCAGTCCATGATTTTTACTGTCTAGCAAAGTTATGAATTTAACCTCTCAGGCTCATCTTCTGAAAGTGTTGTGCAGGTTTCCTTTGAGAAAGAGGATTGATAGGTCAGATATAGAGTGATTGCTTTGTGAAAAGTGTTCACCCACAAGTGATATGCTGGTTTTGTCTGTATGAGTTCATTTGAGAGCATAGTGATTGTCTCATTTTTTTCCAAATAGCTGTTACTGGGGCATTTAATGGTGTATGGCTGGGGAGGTTGATCATTATAGAGTGGAGATATGTCTGTAGGTTTTGCATCTATTATGGCAGGGAATGGTGATACATATTGTTGATGTGTCCTGGTCTATGGGGAGCTTGCTTCTGATGATGAGATGGCAAAGATGAGGGATTCTTTGAAGACCAAAATAGGGGATTCAGGAAAGATTCCTTTCAGTATGGATTACAAGTATGGGTTGAAATTGTTTAATGGTAGTCCATGTGGGTTCTAGTGTGGGGTGGTAGGTGACAACTAGGGGTGTGTAGTCAGAGGGGGGTTCATTTCTATGTTGAAGCAGGTTTTCTCAGAGGACTTGGGTGGTCCATTCCATGACACAATCTGCTTCTTTGTTGGACTGTGCTTGTTTGTTGAATTAAGCTGTGTATCCTGGACTTTCTCCTCAAAGCATATTCTGTGACATGAGAATGCCCGGCTGTAGATAATAAATTTATTGGTGTGTTTGGGGTGATTACTGGATCTGTGAAGGTATGTGTGGTGATCCGTGGGTTTCTTGTGTATAGTTGTCTGCAGGGTTCTATTGCTGAAGCTGATTGTGCTGTTCGGGAAACTGATGCTGGGAGTGTTCTAGAAAAAAATGTAATGGAAGGATAATTGTTGTTGAAGTTGTGGTGGAAATCTAAGAGAGAGTTTAGGTCATCTGTCCAGAGGATGAAAATATCATTGATGTATCTCTGGTATATCATTTTTTGTTGTTGTGCATTTATCCAGAAATTCTTCCTCAAGGTGGCTCATGAAGAGGGTGGCATATTGGGGAGCCATCCATTTACCCATGGCTGTTCCCATGGTTTGGATAAAGTGTTTGTTGTTGAATGTAAAATTAGAATGGGTGATGATGAAATGGATGAGATTGGCAGTGTATTTGTGGTGGATATCAGAGTGTTGTCCATTGTCTTGTAGATATTTGAGACAGGCACTGATGCTATCATTGTGAAGGATGTTGGTGTATATCCCATGTCATGAGAATAAAAATATTCTCCTAAATTCATGCTAGCAATCTCCTGATCAAGAAAAGGATATTGAATGCACAGTGTTGACAAAGATCAAGGAGGCAACTGTGTTTAATAAAAGAGTAATAACATGCAAGTTCTACTATGCACATATGAACTGTTCCAATTTCATATCAGGACAAGATTTAGAGAAGCAATTTCTTAGCATCTTACATAGTTGCTTTGTGGAATCATCAGTTTTAGAGCATATAAAAAAGAGACTATGTTCTTGATTTAGTTGTAAGTAAAATATAGGAGTTGGACAGACAAGTTGGGTGAGGTAATATCTTTTATTTGTCTAGCTTTAGTTATTGAGAAAGACAAGCTTTGAGCTACACAGAGCTCTTCTTTGGGTCTGGGAAAGATACTAAGAATGTCACAGCTAAATACAAGATCGAACATATAGTTTAGCATATGTAGTTAGTACATAGAGACCACTCAAGTACCTTTCCCATACCTGTTGAAGAGCTCTGTGTAGCTCGAAACCTTGACTATCTCACCAAAAATGTTGGTCTAATAAAAGATATTACCTTACTCACCTTGTCCCTCTAATATCCTAGGACCAACAAAGCTCCAAAAACACTGCATACAACATAGGATTTGGGTCAACAGGGTCAACTATAGCTGAGCCTCTTAGTTAAAACAGAATAGAACCCAGGGTGCTCTCAATGAGACAAATGATCATGGACACCCGCCACAGAGTGCCACAGGAGGAAACATAAGTTAAATAATCATCTGGGCACAGGCATCATTCTATGCCTTAGACACTTCTATGGTGATTAAGGTTGGTCTAAAGCTTGCTTATGTGTATTTCAATTAAAATGTTCTGCAGCATGAGATACTTAAATTATGGATTCTGTAGAATAGTTAAAGGGATTAACTGGACTCATTCATTACTATGATATCTCTATCCATTATTCATTTGCCAGTTCTGTTACACAAAGATATATATCTTGGATAAACGTAAATGGAAATCTTTGGGAAATTTTAATCATAGAAATGAATATATAATAATCTTCCATATACCTCTCCATTACTGTTCCTCTTCATTCCCATGTGTGTTCCTAATCATTTCTCATCTTGACAACTGCAAACTCTTTCTTCCTGGTATCCCAGACTTTCACCTTGCTGCTTCCTTCAGTCTTTCCAACATGCCCCTAAAAACATTCTCTCCCCTGCCTGCTGCTCTTAGCATGTTCTGGTGCTCTTGAAATTCCTTTACTTTCTCCCAGTCACCTTCTTCATCAAATTTATGGTGCTTGTCCTGGCCTTCACAGCCCTCAATAACTGTAATGCTGCTTGTGTTTACTCTCTTGTCTCCTCTCGCTCATCCCTCAACATTTAATTCTGCCCAAACTGCATAATTACTAACCCCATCTAATCTTCCTCTCACTGTCCCCTATATGCCTCCTGCCATGTGACCTCACATACCTGCAGTTTCCTCCATGACCTAGTTCACCCTGCCTCCTTCTCATTGTCTTTCCTTAAATTCACTTCCAAACAATGACCCAAGGCCCCCAAAAGCAATAATAAAAGTAAACCTCAGTGCTTATTACATTGTTATCATTATAGTCCTCATCCCTTTCCTTTTACTCCATTTTTATGTTGTCTTGAAATTGTTAACTCTTTAGGGCAGAGACCATGTAACTAAAATATCTAGCAAACTGTTTTTGTTGTTATATAAATAAATAATAACACTAAAGTGATGTAATTTAAAAAAATCTGACATTGTGAAAAATGTGGTGTTTGGAGCTGGTCAGAAAAACTCTGAGTGAACAGTTTTCTTTTAGAAAATTCAGTTCCTATCAAAATTTAAATTCTTCACAAAATCCGTTTTACCAAAAAATTGTTCTGAGAAAAATGGAAGGCAAACAATCCAACAATGTTGAAATGTCTTGTTTTGACAAGACATTTTCAGAACAAAATGTTTTTAATTTTTTAAAATGTTTTATTATATTTTATCATATAATATTTTAAAAAGTCAGAATGTTTTGATTGATCCATTTAAAAAAACACAATATTTTGTGGGGAATTTTGAATTTTTTGGATTTTGTTCTGATATGGAATGAAGCCAGAATTGGAAATCTCAAAATTCTCCACAAGATGGATTTTCTGTCTTCCACACAGCTCTAGTGCCAACTGATATGAATCTCGACATGAATTTACTACTGAACTAAGTAGCTCATCAAGGAGTGGGGAGGTAATGGTTTCAATTTGTCACTAGCATGTGTACAGTTTTAAGAGTATCAGAATAAAATAATGTTATTGATAAATCCAAGATAAAGAAATAGTCATATCATGAAAAGACTGAGTTCAATAGGTTTGAGGGGTGAAAGCCTGGTAATAGAACTAGAATATGAAATAGAGTTAAAATATGAAATAATCTTCCGAGGTCAGTTATGGGAGATCCATCAGTAAAGATATTCAAAGTCAGGCTAGACAAAGCACACATGAATAGTCATTAGGAGCAATCTTCCAAATTTCAGCGGGTGGACTAGATGACCTGCCAGGTTTTTCCCATTTCTAATATTTATTATTCAACTCATCCAATAAATTGTAGGTTTCTACTAGCCTACCTATTTCCAGATGAATTGCTGAATTCATGAATTGGCTAGTCATGAAATAAAGATGCACAGAGTTCCATAGCTTCAACAATGCAGAAAGAACAAGACAATTTGAAATAAATAGTTACATGATGCAGACCATGAACTGCTCTGAAGTAGCTATTATTTAAACTATGGGAACAGAGAACAATAATTTATGTTAAGCACCCCTTTTTGTTTAAGAATCTTGAAGGAAATATTATAAGAAAAATCGTGCATATACCATAACTAATTATTTATCTTTTTCTTTAAACATCTTCTTTTCAGTGAGGACCTTTGTTATCCAACATTAAAACTGCAGTGAAAACAAGAAAATTCATTAAAAACTAGGAAGCTGTTTACATTAATGATTAATTGATCCAATTTAAATGTCCTATATTTTTATACCTATACTTAGTTTTAGGTGCAAATGATAACACTTTGACTTCTAATTCTGCCCACAAATTTAATCTGAAATGAAATGCTGTCATCTGAAGCTCCTTTAAAAAAATTGGCCCTCAGAATAATAAATGTCAGTAACATTTACATGTATAATAGTTCATATACAGTTTTAGAGTGAAATTCTGATCCCATATATGTCAATAGGAGTTTTGCCTTTGACTGCAGTGAGGCTAGGATTTCACCCTAAATTTTTATATACACTAAATGTGGTATATTATTTAATCCATCCAGAAATGCCTGAATCATTCCAAATCATGCCAACTTGTTTTCCTTCTTTGATTAGGTAATTGGTTTGGTGGATAGGGGGAATGCCGGGGACATACTATACCTGTACTTTAGCAAGGCTTTTGACATAGTTCCACATGACATTCTCATAAGTAAGCCGGAGAAATGCTGGCTCAGCGGAACTAACATTAAGAAAAAAAAGTAACTATTCATGGAATTATGTCTGACTGGAAGGAGGTCTCTAGTGGGGTTCCACAGGCATTTGTTCTGGGTCCATTTTTTTTTTTTTAACATCTTTATTAATGACCTGGATGTGGGAATAGAGAGCATACTGATCACATTTTTGGAAGGTAGGCCAAAATTCAAAGAGATCGTGCTAAATTGGAGAACTGGATTATAAACAACAAAATGAAATTCAACAAAGACAAATGTAAGGTGATTCACTTTGGGGAAAAAATCAAATGCACAAATACAGAATCGGGGGGATTTTTGGCAGCAGTACTGCTAAAATGGATCTGGGAGTTGAGGTGGATCACAACCTCAACATGAGTCAACCATTGGATACTGTTGCAAAAAAAGCAAATACAATTTTGGGTTACATTAACAAAGTCACGGGAGGTGAAAGTACCATGCTATTCAGTGCTGGTTAGGCCTCATCTGAGGTACTGTGTCCAATTTTGGTCAACAATGCATAGAAAGGATGTAGAGAAACTGAAAAGGATCCCGAGGGGAGCAACAACGATGATCAAAGGAATGGGATGCAAGTCATATAAACAAAGGCTGAAGGATGTTTAGTTTGGAAAGAGGAGATTAAAGGGGGACAGGATAGTGGTCTTCAAATACTTGAAAGGCTGCCATAAAAAAGATGGATAAAAGTTCTGATTTGCCACAGAGGACAGGACAAGAGGTAATGGGTTCAAACTATAGCACAGCAGTTTTAGATTTAAATCTCAGGAAAAATGTCCTAACAGTAAGAACAGTCAGTCAGTGGAACAGACTGCCTAGAGAAGTTGTGGAAGCTCCTTCACTGGAGGTTTTCAAAAGGAGACTGGATAGCCACCTGTCTTGGATGGTTTGGATACATCTAGGCAGCAGATTAGGCTCGATGGCCCTTGTGGTTCCTTCTAACCCTATGGTTCTATGATTCTATGAATCAACAGAAAATGTGTGGTTCCCCTTCTGTAATACTGCTAGAAATTGATGGGAGGGGAACAGCAGTACGGCCAATAATCTAATGTCCATATTTGTCATCTTGGCTATATAAAAGTGAGCATGTTTCAAGGCAAAAAAGTACCACCCAAACCCAGCCAGATTGAGGATACCACAATCTGCAGGGAGAAAATAGAGCATTTATTCCAATAGGTAGTAGTGGAAAAACTTATACTCAGAAATTCTGAAGCACCCTAACACATCTTCTGTCATGGGGCATTTTCCACCTCACCATTCAAGTTACACATTTCCTCCTCAAAGGAGCATTCAGCGTCTGAATATTCCTGTTTTATTTTGATTGCAAGGAATACATCTAAACCTTTACAGTGTATGTATGTATGTATGTGTATATATATTTAGAAAACTTAAATATATGCTCATTTTAGGATAGACAACAAATACTGCATTACACCTAGAAAAAATGACCCACCTAGCAAAAATATCACATAATCCCTCATCATTGTACATTTACCTACAATGAATGGTGAAACCTACTCTTAATATTATTTTTCTTTTGATGTTTTTTTTCTTTTTTCTTTTAGGGATGGGCCAGACCAAAGTTCTCCTCAGATTGGCCAGTTTAGTGGCAACACTGCCTTGGAGTCTGTCTACAGTACTTCAAACCAGATTCTCATCAAGTTCCACAGTGACTTCACAACAAGTGGTTTCTTTGTGCTAAGTTATCATGGTAAGTTCAATAAATTTATCTATATTTATTGATGATTGTATAGTTGAAGCTTAAGGGAAAATGTTTTAACTTACTGTTACTAAAATAAATGTTAAGTCCTTTGGAACAATTAGTTTATTTTTTGTTAATCACTGAATGTGATTGTTACCACTATTAATAGACAAGCAAAGAAGATATACCATGAACACATTGTCAGTACAAACAAACAAACAAAAAGAACCAGTGAACCTTCCAAAATCTAACATCCAGTTCAGGTTAGACATAAGTATCTCTTTATGGCTTCCATTGCATTAAAAGATGGGGTCCAAAATGCAAGTTTTGTTTAAATTGTGTGTAATCAGTGCAGTTATGCCAGCGCTGCCAGTGATAACAAACTAAATTAAATTGCATGGGTTTATCCATCCTGTTCATGTGAGAAGAATCAATGGAGACCTATACCTGTATTGACCTAGAGGCTGCCAAATCCTTTGGATATTTTTTTTTTAATTTTGAAATGTAAGGGAATATTTTTTTTGTATTTTTATGGAATTTACAAAAAATTACTTCTCCACCAAGAATGTGCCTCTTGGGAGTGCACATCTTGGTACCAGGAATTCCTAAGACCTTCTAGAAATCAGGAAAGGGTGAGGGCAGTTCATATACCCTCATACAAATGCTAAATCTTGTGTCAGGTTTCTAAGGCACATTCATTTCCTATCATGATAAACAACAGATCTCATAATTACTGCTTTCTAGAAGTTGCAGTGCACTTCTATTTCTTGTCAGAATTTCTATTTTGTAGATCAATTTTACTTATAATGAATTAATCTGTGTTAATGAATAATCTGTGTTATAATGAATTAATCTGTATTAATAATGGTATTATAGTTAGGAGCAAGATTCTTCACCCAGATCCAAGCTTCACCCAGATCCAAGCTACACCTAGAAGCATGGGTGTTGGCACCCTATTAAATGAGTGATAAAATGCTCACATGAGTTGAAACAGATTCTTCTGTAATTGAGAAAGCCACCTCCCTGAAAGACATGTACACTAAAATGGAGATCATCTGGGCTTTGTGTGACAAAGAGTTCCACAGGCAGATACTCTTCACCTGTCTCCATCTCTGGCGAGCTCTATTATGGATACTGAGAATTACATTATATCTGTACACTGTAGTATTTTAGAAGTGGCATTTTGTGTGTTCAGATTATTACGGACTATGACATAAGAACCAGTACATTGAATTGGTTCCACTGTTGAATGGGTGTAGTGGGCAGAGTACCTATGTTTCATTTAACTGTTAAGATATGGGCTTCTGAAATTAGTACCATCCTTGGTGTTGTATAGCTTCCATTATCTGACCCAAGAAAAAAGCATTTCAGTACTCCAGCTGTGAAATAACAAAGGCATGGAGCACTATCTCCAGGACTTCCTCTGTGAGGAGCAGGCACAGTTTTCTTACCAGTAGTAGGTGGTAAAAAATCCTGGTGTCCAGGCATAATGTGGCTACCAGACTGCAACTCTCTGACAATGAATATTCAGATACCCTTATGAAAAGAGCGGTCATGGATTCTGCAAGGCCTTCTGAATATGTCCTTTGGCCTACCAAAATCACTTCCATCTGACTTCGATTGAATTTGAATCATATATTATTCTTTATGGAAGTGCTTTTTTCTTCTAGATGCGGAGGTAGCTGTATGACAAATGGTTGTCTGCTTGTGATAAGAATGATATGTGTCACTGTGTATCATAAGCATATTGCTAGCATTTGGCTTGTAGCTTTTCAAATGTTTCCAGCGGCATTATATAGATGCTGAACAAGCTGGTTCATAGCACCCATCATTGGCATGAAGCAACCAAAGCTACACAAATAAATTTGGCAATTCCTCTATGTCCTGAGGCTAGCAATTTTGCAGTCATTTTTTATTCCTCTCATTCTCTCCCTAAATGAATGCTGTCTCTAAATCATGCAGGTCTTATACTCTACATCTTATCTATCATCAGTATTTCCAAATTCTGATGTTAGTTCTCTGTTCCCTCCTATAGAGCCCTTGCCCAACCCCTAATCACTCTGACCTTGACTACTGCAGCCTCCTCATCTTTGCCTCCACGCCATTATTAATTCCATCCAGGATGTTTTAGCAAATAGTCATCAAGTTTTTCTGATGCTCTGATGATCTTCTGTCTCTCTTCAAATCCTTTCACTGGCTCCACCTCACCTTCCTCTTTAAATTTAAGTTTCTTGTGCCCAAGTTGGAAGACCTGGTGCAAGTTAACTCAAACCTATTTCTCTACCCCATCTTCCAATAAATAAAGTTTCCTATACCAGTGTAATATATGAAATAAAATTATTTGTGAAAGGGATGGGAACTGTTTAAATTGCACGTGCCCATGTCTGGTTGTAAAGTGACTTTTAGGGGCTTCCTCTTGCTGCCCTCTGTTTATTTCTCTTACTGTGCATCTAGACTATACTTCTGAACTGACAGGGCCTAAATGTGGGCTATGGTGTTTGATGAAGACCAAGATTGAGGGACACAAAATATTTGTCATATAACAAAGTTAAAACACTGGGACTAATCCCTTCAGGATAAATACCTCTTTCAGTATCTTCAAGTTCATGATTCTTTCTATCTGCTGTAAATAATTTGCAACAGTAAAAGTGTAGGGGATACCAAATTGGTGCGGAATATAGGTAGTTTTGGGACTAATATGAGTGTAGTCTCTAATGAGAGACATTTGAGAGTTATGACCTAGATTCTTTGCTAAAGGCATTTGATCACAGTGGACCCAAACCTGTTCTTATTAAAGGACCAAATGATGGCTAAGTGAGCACAATGGTGCAAGGGCATAAGAGCAATGTGGCATGTTACACTCCTCATCTAGTTACCTGTACCACAGGTAGCAGC